TTGTCTTCACAGGTGTAAAGAATTGTGCTCCTGTTTTAAAACATTTTGTAAACAATAACTGGCATGGCAAGAAGAGTGGGACAAGATTTGGGCAACTTCTGTAAAAAAAAGGCCCATGTGTGAAGGGCAAAGCCTTCAGTTATTAACCGATAATACCGTACAGCACACAGACATAATTTTTACATACATATATAAATATATATTTATATATATTAATATATATATAAATTCATATATACTTATATAAGTGCGTGCGTGTGTTTGTGTGTGTGTGGTGTGTGAGTGTGAGTGTGAGTGTGAGTGTGAGTGTGAGTGTGTGTGTGTGTGTGTGTGTGTGTGTGTGTGTGTGTGTGTGTGTGTGTGTGTGTGTGTGTGTGTGTGTGTGTGTGTGTGTGTGTGTGCGTGCGTGCGTGCGTGCGTGCGTGTGTGTGTGTGTGTGTGTGTATCTATATATATCTATATCTATCTATAGATATACATATATATATGTATATATATATATATATATATAAAGTATATGTTTATAAATAAATAAACAAATAAATAAATAATTACATAATCAATAATGAATAAATTATATAATATATATATGTTTATAAATAAATAAATAAACAAATAAATAAATAATTACATAATCAATAATGAATAAATAAATAAATAAATATATATATATATATATATATATATATATATATATATATATATATATACAACTACATATGTATAGTTGTAATATTAATGATCATTGTTGTCATTAACATTATCATTAATATCATTACCACTATCATTACCCTATTTGTTATTATTAGGTTGCGTGTTGTTGCTGTTGTTGTCATTAATATTATCATTATCATTTTTTGTAGTTATCATCATCATTATTACAATCCTTTTTAGTAATGCTGCTACAACAGTCACAACCACTTTTGCTAGTACCGTCCTTATTATCTGACATTATTATCATATTTCTATTACCATTATTATCATCATCATTATTATTATTACTATAATCATCATTATCGTAAATACCATTGTCATTATTATTAGGATCATCATTATCATAAGTATTACTACTATCATAATTATTATCACTGCAATTAGTATTGTTATTTGTGATATAAGTATATGTATACTATATATCATTATTGTTATGATCATTATCATTGCTGTTTGTTATCATTACCATTAATATCATTATCATCACCATTATTGTAATTATCATTATTATTATTACTGTTATTATTAATATCATCATTATTATTATCAGTTATCATTAACATTACTATTACTATCATTATTGTTATTATTATTAGTAGTAGTAGTAGCATCATTATCATCACTGTTATCATTATTACCATTACCATTATTATTAACATTATCATATATATTATTACTTTTGTTATTGTTTTTATTATTACTATTATACTGCTTATTTTCATCATCATCATTGTTGAAATCATTATCATTACTAAAATTAATAACAATAATAATAATGATAATAATAATGATAATGATAATGATGATAATAATAATCACAATTACAATAATAATAATAATAATAATAATAATAATAATAATAATAATAATAAAAATAACAATAACAATAATAACAATAATGATAATGATAATAATAATAATAATCGTAATAACAGTAACAACAATAATAACAATAACAATAACAATAACGATAATAATACTACTACTACTTACTACTACTACTACTACTAATAATAATAATAATAATAATAATAAAAACAACAATAACAATGATAACAAATGATAACAAGATGATAATAATTATAAAAATAACGATAACTGCAAAAATAGTAATGGTAATAATAATAATAATAATAATAATAATAATAATAATAATATATAATAATAATAATAATAATAATAATAATAATGATGATGATGATGATAGTAATAATGTCAATGATAATAATAACAGTAATAGTATTAGTAATAATAATAATAATAATAATAATAATAATAATAATAATAATAATAATAATAACAACAATAATAATAATAATGATAATAATACTAATCATCATCATCATTATCATAATAAATACGAAAGTCATTTAGATTTATATCAACAATTTTTATGCAAGTTCAAAAATAATAATATAACTATAACAGTTCTAAAATTATAATAATAATAATAACATTAACACAGATGGTAATAATAATTGTAATTACAATAACAACGGCAGTAAATAATCTTAATAGCAATCGCAATAAGAAGCGGGAAAAAAGGAGAAATACAGTAATAATAATGATATACATAATAACAACATTGGCAAAATACATAATAATCATGAGCATAATAAGCAATATCATAACAATGAGGATGATGACCATGTCCATGAATTATTGATGTACTATAGAAACTTCTCCTCCAACAATTATTATAAAAGCACATGCTGTGCTAGACATCAGCGACAGTATTGCTGGTATCAGTACTATTCAAACAATAAATTAAGTGGTTATCAAGTTTTAATTTTTATATAGCAAAATATATCTATTGGCATTACCGAAAAATGAGAGTATTTGTAACTACAGTAGTTAAGGATTTGGTGTTTGCTGAAATTCTTAACCTAAATAGTAACCTCTTGTTTTACAGTTATATTGTTTTCTCGGCTCCAGTTACATTCGGGGATTCTCATTTAAATCAAATTCAAAATTAAAATTTGCGATTGATATCAGTAAAGTAGCTAAAGTAGAGAAGTGCTTGGCACACAACAGTAATATTACAGTCAAGCTAAAGATAACCGTTCTCTTGCTATACTCTGGCCGAAGGAACAGTCTACGGGTATGTTCACATGATCAAAAAATCACTCGGTAATGACTGCAATTGTCAGATGAAAAAAAGGAAGAAAACGCCAGGCGAAGGCTGGTGTAATTTCGGTTTCCTATATCCTAAAACACGCAAAATCTTCATTAGTACTATTTACATAATATGCAGTATGTCCGACCCTCCGGTATAACTCATCTTTTCGATATCATGCGATATTTACGTCTCAGATAACCTTTCCTTTAGAGACAGGACCATTGGCAATAGCTTCATTTTCCATGTCAAAATAATGAATAAATCTCATCAATACCAAAAGGCATATGGACCGCAAAAATATTTCACTTATGCTTGTTTACCTAATCTGCCACGCAGTAACTCGTGCTGTTCGTCACCGATGCACGATAGAGACATCAACACACATGGCGGTGTGGAGTCGAGGGACATCGCGTCGACGAATGGCAATCCTTTGTATTGCGTTCCCTTGAATTATACATTTTTAGGAGGCCGCGGAAGATGATGTACATGGGACGCTGTTTTGACATTAATACATATGGACTCCATTAACTTCTTAGGCGAGTTTCATCCTAATCCATCCCACAAAAACAAAATATAAATTGCGTTCAAACCAAAATTTACATCTCAGATTTGAAACAATTAGTTTTTTACTTACAGTCGTTGGGTATCCGGGGGAACACCACGAGGTAACCTTGTAAGACCTCTCTTGGCGCAGTCCACGGTGGTTCCGAAGCAGGCACAGCGGGCAGGGCAGCTTGATACAACGCTTACTGAACTGCTTCCAATTTGACCGTTTACTCCAGAGCTCTCCACCTGGGGCACAGTGTTTGGGATAACGCCCATCAGAGCAAGCCACGCCCACACGCCCACCATGGCTCGCACTGCCATGTAACCCATGGTGACCACAGCAATTACCACGGACACACCACCATACCGGAGACGTCTAAACACCGGCACCCGAATTGTACACGATATTCATACACCTTTGATCCGAAGTTGAAGAGCACACACTGTATTTGCTGTATAATTAAACTTATGAAATAATACGTTGTGGCCTGCACACACCTTCTATACACTGGCGATCACCTCCGTCTGCTGTTATCCTTGGCAGACTCACGAGGGAATCATCACCAACGCTTTAAGCCATCTGGTAACTCAAATAAGCGATGAACCATTTAAATGCCCATTGAATTTCAGTAATAAATGCACGGTAATTTCATGGAGAACCTCAACGCACGTGAAACTTCTAAGCAGTAGCTATACTTGCAACACATGAGAACACCGCGCGCACTGATCACCCGAGTTATCCAGCACAGGTAAGCGGGCCGAGTGGCGAGTGTGTGGCTCGGGGCGAGAGGCCAGGAGGGCGGAGCAGCGTGCGTGCTCTCACTGCGGCGGGTGGGACACAACTGACGAACAGTTCACGGAGACGTACTCGCGGCCGCCAAGCACCTCCTGCCGCCGTCGCACGCTCTCGCCGCCGTTTCTGCTGGTGGCAGCTGTACCGTAGCCTGCCTACGCCGCACGCCCGAGACTCGGCTCACGCCCACGGTGGCGACCATATATTGCGTTTCTTTGTTCCTTGAACCATCGTTACCCTGGGCAGTCTGTGCCACGAAAAATCAGGAGTTCCACTTGTGTCTTTCTTCCCTCTCTCTCTCTCTCTCTCTCTCTCTCTCTCTCTCTCTCTCTCTCTCTCTCTCTCTCTCTCTCTCTCTCTCTCTCTCTCTTCTCTCTCTCTCTCTCTCTCTCTCCTGGCGTACAACTATCCTTCCTCTACATCGCTTTCTACCTTTGCTGTTTACTGCTATATGTTTGCTAATGCACCGTCTTTTTATTTATACCAGGATCGACTAGTGCAATGCAGTAGGTAGCAGCGGAGACATAATCAATCTTACGATCCTATAATCTATCCTATGTGTGTGTATTTATGTATTAATGTTTGTACACACAGACACACATGCACGCACATAAACACACACACACACACACACACACACACAACACACATACACACACACACACACACACACACACACACACACACACACACACAACACCACATATATTATATATATATATATATATATATATAATATATATATATTATATATATAACAGAAATTTCAGGACTAGCGTCGTAACCAAGATCATCATGTAGGAAAGGACTTAAACAAAAATGTCGTGCTCTCATTCTTCTTTAATGTATAAAGCCAAACGTTTCGGGCGTACTTCCACCCATTATCAATGGCGAACTGTAAGTGAACAACATATAAGATTTAACAATTACAAACAGTATCAACGTATATACAATTACATTAGATGTAAATATGGAATTCATAAGCATTAATGACTAGTGTTGGTGTAAACAATAGTTTAACCTATGTAAGGTAAGAACAATCATCTAGGCAACAAAGATGAAATACAATAAGTATCAGATTTGTACAATATCCATAGGACACAATCAGTAACACAAATTGACTAGTATGAATCTTATCAATTGAAAATCAAACTGAGTTATATTCAAGAAAATTACAATATTCTCTAAATTGAGGAAATGCAATAAATTCATAATATCAAAGACAAAGTATGTGATAATTTAAGATACAGAATCAAATACATTGAGACAATAATGCCAGATTCAAAAGAACATGAGACAGAAAACTTTGAACAAAGGAATCCGAGGTAAGCGGGAAAGCCGGCATACTATTTTGGGCTATAAAATCTTAATCCAAAACTTTTCTTAGGTTAATCTTTACAATTTATGAGAATCAGAGTTAAAAGAGTCAATTAACAAGGTTATGATCATGGTTACTAACCTAAAATTTACAAAAATCCATGGAAATAAGAGCTGTGCAGCAGGTGACGTGTACTGTAAGCCACCAAGGGACGCTATGAAATGGCGCGGTTGTCTACCAAACTTGAGACTATCAGGAGACTCGGCTCACGCCCAGGATAGTCTCAAGTTTGGTAGACAACCGCGCCATTTCATAGCGTCCCTTGGTGGCTTACAGTACACGTCACCTGCTGCACAGCTCTTATTTCCATGGATTTTTGTAAATTTTAGGTTAGTAACCATGATCATAACCTTGTTAATTGACTCTTTTAACTCTGATTCTCATAAATTGTAAAGATTAACCCAAGAAAAGTTTTGGATTAAGATTTTATAGCCCAAAATAGTATGCCGGCTTTCCCGCTTACCTCGGATTCCTTTGTTCAAAGTTTTCTGTCTCATGTTCTTTTGAATCTGGCATTATTGTCTCAATGTATTTGATTCTGTATCTTAAATTATCACATACTTTGTCTTTGATATTATGAATTTATTGCATTTCCTCAATTTAGAGAATATTGTAATTTTTCTTGAATATAACTCAGTTGATAAGATTCATACTAGTCAATTTGTGTTACTGATTGTGTCCTATGGATATTGTACAAATCTGATACTTATTGTATTTCATCTTTGTTGCCTAGATGATTGTTCTTACCTTACATAGGTTAAACTATGGTTTACACCAACACTAGTCATTAATGCTTATGAATTCCATATTTACATCTAATGTAATTGTATATACTTTGATACTGTTTGTAATTGTTAAATCTTATATGTTGTTCACTTACAGTTCGCCATTGATAATGGGTGGAAGTACGCCCGAAACGTTTGGCTTTATACATTAAAGAAGAATAAGAAGCACGACATTTTTGTTAAGTCCTTTCCTACATGATGATCTTGGTTACGACGCTAGTCCTGAAATTTCTGTTTATGCTCCGCTTCCCGTCTGGAAGTCCAACTACCACAATTATAGCTCAAAGGTATGGTAACTATGCGTTAAAAGTTTATAGAAGATTTCAAAAATGTTCTTTCAAAGAAAACAAAATTAACTTAGACTTGAATTTCTTGAATGTATGTCTCAAAAATAAATTGATACCAAAATTTTTAAGATTTAAACTATGGAAACATGATAAGGATAACAAAAAGGCATATCATGATTTTCAGAAAAAAACTTTTGGAAATTGAAATCAAGAAAAAACCCGAGAGCTAAATTATATGAATAAGAAAGTTAAAGAATTGGAATTGGAATTAAAAAATATTATTTCATGGCTTGATTTCAGTTATCTAAAAGTTCATTCTGAATCCATTAATGTGAATACTTTAAAGAGAGTTAAATTTGTACATGAGCGTAAACTATTCCATTTAGGATATGATAACTTTAACAAGTCCCTGGATGTTGATAAAGTTGTTTTCAATTTTTCTAGTGTAAACTTGTCTGTAAAACTTAAACAATTATTAGCAAATGGCCTAAAATTTGGCATCCCACCATCAAAATTGAATTTTGCTCATTTTTTTCTATCTTTGAAAAATTACTTAGGTCACTTTACACTCACAAACCAACAAATAAATTTCCAAATGTCAATAATCACATTAAATCATGTATTAAGAATTTGGCCTTTTCCACTTTTTATACTTATAAAAAGGAAATTACTCAAGATGGGTTATCAACTAATGACTTCAAAACCCTTAAAGACTTGTCTAAGAACCCTGATGTAATTATTACCAAACCAGACAAAGGTCAAGTGTTGTTTTAATGAATAGATCAGATTATGTTAAAAAAGTTGATGACATTCTTAAAGATAAAACAAAATTCTCCCAAATTCCTGACAAACCTGAATCACTTATTATCAAAAATGAGGATAAGCTTAATTCTTTTCTAAGGAAATTAAAAAAAGAAGAGGTTATTAATGAGTCTACTTACTCTTCCCTCTTTACTTCTGGCTCAAGACCTGGAATTTTATATGGTTTACCCAAAATTCATAAAGCAAACTTACCCGTCAGACCCATCCTTTCAGCATTGGGAACCATTAATTATAATGTTTCAAAATTTTTCATTCCCATTCTAAGACGTCTCACTCTGAATCAATATACCATACAGAACACCTTCACCTTTGTTCAAAAATTAATTGAGATCCCACATGCAAATGATTATGTCCTAGCTATTTTGACGTCACTAATTTGTTCACTAATGTCCCTCTAGACGAAACCATAGACATCATTATGAACTCTTTGTTTGAAAAATCTGATAAAGTTTTGGGATTTAATAGAATGTATTTTAAAAAACTTTTGGATATTGCCACAAAGATATAATGTTTTGGTTTAATGGAACTTTGTACAAACAAATTGAAGGGGTTGCAATGGGAAGCCCTTTAGGACCTACTTTAGCAAACATTTTCATGTGTTATAATGAAAGTAAATGGCTTAAAAATTGCCCTATAGAATTTAAACCCAAACATTATTTCAGATATGTTGATGATACTTTATTGTTATTCAAATCCGAAGATGAAGTTAACAAATTCTTGGAATACCTTAATAATCAACATCCTAACATTAAATTCACTTGTGAAATTGAACAGAATGGACACCTTCCCTTTTTGGATATGATATTTCTAGGGATATGAATTTTTGTCTCCTCAGTCTATAGAAAACCAACTTACACGGGTCTAACAACTAAATTTAATTCTTATATACCTATCAAATATAAGGGGAATTTAATTTCTACGCTGATTTTCAGAGCATTCAAAATTTCCAAGGATTATTTTATCTTCATTAAGGAAATTGACTTTATCACAAATATTCTAAGATTGAACATGTTCCCAATTAATTTTATTGAAAAGAACATAAGGACAACTCTCAATAGACTTTTGGTCCCTGTAGAACCCACATTGACTGTCTCTAAGGATGTAATTTATATGAAACTACCTTATCTTGGAACTATTAGCCACTGTCTAGAAAGAAAATTATCAAATCTAATTAAAACTCACTACTCAACTGTTACTCTTAAAGTAGTATATACAACCTCCCTCTCATTAGGTAACTTATTTAAATTTAAAGAAAGTACCGAAACCTTTACGCTCTTCAATAGTATATAAATTCACGTGTAGTAGCTGCGATGCTACTTATATTGGGAAGACTTCCCGTAACCTCTTCATGAGAATTGAAGAACATAAAGGTTTCTCATTTAGGAATACTAATTACAAGCTAACTAGACCAAATAAATCTTCAATTAGAAGCCACTGTGAAGCAAAAACCATTCTTTCTCATCAGAGAATTTTGAAATCCTAGACTCCTCCCCTTTTGACTTTGATCTAATCATTTTAGAAAGTCTATGGATTTGAAAGAAAAACCAAATTTAAATGAATATTCATCTTCAATAGACATTGAACTTCTTAAATAATAACTCTGTTTTTGGAGAATTTATATTCTCTTTAGTCTCACATTTTCACATGTGGATTTTCTTTCTCCTGATAGTCTCAAGTTTGGTAGACAACCGCGCCATTCATAGCGTCCCTTGGTGCTTACAGTACACGTCACCTGCTGCACAGCCCTTATTTCCATGGATTTTTGTAAATTTTAGTTAGTAACCAATCATAACCTTGTTAATTGATTCTTTTAACTTTGATTCTCATAAATTGTAAAGATTAACCTAAGAAAAGTGTTGGATTAAAATTTATAGCCCAAAATAGTATGCCGCTTTCCGCTTACCTCGGATTCCTTTGTTCAAAGTTTTCTGTCACATTTCTTTTGAATCTAGCATTATTGTCACAATGTATTTGATTCTGTATCTAATTTATCACATACTTTGTCTTTGATATTATGAATTTATTGCATTCCTCAATTTAGAGAATATTATAATTTTCCTTGAATATAACTCAGTTTTATTTTCAATTGATAAGATTCATACTAGTCAATTTGTTACTGATTGTTCCTATGGTATTGTACAAATCTGATACTTATTGTATTTCATCTTTTTGCCTAGATGATTTTTCTTACCTTACATAGGTTAAACTATGTTTACACCAACACTAGTCATTAATGCCTTTGAATTCCATATTACATCTAATTAATATATATACTTTGATACTGTTTTAATGTTAAATCTTATGTTGTTCACTTACAGTTCGCCATTGATAATGGTGAAGTACGCCCGAAACGTTTGCTTTATACATTAAAGAAGAATAAGAAGCACGACATTTTTGTTAAGTCCTTTCCTACATGATGATCTGTCACGACGCTAGTCCTGAAATTTCTGTTATGCTCCGCTTCCCGTCTGGAAGTCCAACTACCACAATTATATATATATATATAATAATATATATATTATATACATATATATATATATATAATATATATACAATATTATATTATATATATATATATTATTATATATATATAATATATATATATATATATATATATATATATATATATATATAAATATATATTATATATATATACATCATATTAATATACAATATATATATATAAATATATATATATATATATATTATATAATATAAATATATTAAATATAATAAAATAATAAATATATATTAATATACATATAATAATAAAATATATATATTATATATATATATATATATATATATAGTATATTATATATATATATATATAATATATATATATATATATATAATAATATATATATATACATATATATTAATATATATACATATATATATATAAATATATATATATATATTATACATAGTATATATAATAATATATATATTATATATATATATATATATATATTATATATATGTAAATGTAATTATACATATATATATACATAATATATTATATATATATGTATAATATATTATATATATATTATATATATATATATGTATAATATATAATATATATATATATATATATATATATTATATATGTATATAATATATATATATACATATAATATATATATTATTATTATATAATATATACATACATATATATAGTATATATATATAATATATATATATAATATATATATATAATGATTTTATAATATAATATATATATACATACATGTATGTATATATAATACATATATATATATATTATAT